TAAAGTGAGAATTTTTTCTTTGAGTCTCTTTCAGGCTAAAATTCAGAGACTCTAATTAGTTATTTCTTTTGGAAGGCCACAATAATATGTACTTTCTTTCACTAGACAGTTAACTTAATTCTCATTTCCATTTCAGACAAGATTCCTGTGCTAAGAGAAGGAAAACTACCTGTGGTAGGAATTGGAAAGCATCTGTGTGGTATGGCAACAGGTATGTAAACATACTAATAGTGTTTACATTAATGCATTAAGTTTTGACCTAACCTGGCCCCAACCATTTCAGTGGCCTCTTTTGAATAGATATCTTATGTTTACAACTCATTAATCTTTATAGAGCACTGGCTCTGTGCTTTATTAGATGCATAGCTTTCCTATTTATCTGCTCATTTTGGCCATTTTGCAGGATGAATTAAGAGTTTTGTATGTAAATACTGCATCACATTAGACTTTAAAGTTCTTTGGGTTAAATTTCAACCAGAAAAGGAAAATAAGACCATTTATGGAAACTGTATTTTTCCACCCAGAAGCTACTGATTTTTTGTAGAATAGTTCCTTAGGAAGAACTCAGAAACCTCTCCCATTAAAAGACTATTGTGTTTCAGGATTCTGGGGAAAAAGAAAAAAATAAATGTTAGACAAAAAAAAAAAATCTAAGATGTCTTGTCTTAGCACTTTGATCCACCAGATCTAGCATGGTAAAGTGGAAACAGCATGTGCTTTAGAATCAGATAGTCTAGCCTTCAGCTCTGTTGTGTAACCTTGTCAAATTACTTAACCTTTCTGAGCTTTGGTAACCTCATCTATAAAACAGAGATACTAATATAATAATAATTCACCGGGTTGCATGTAAAGTGTCTGGCACATAATAGTGCTCCATAAATGTTAATTATTGTTACATCATCTTCCTAACTTTTGCTAGTTTCATCATCTACCCATATGGGTAACTTGGAGTGTCCATAGATAATACTCATATTGGCTGGAAATGGCATTGAGTACTATATATTTGTGTTGGCCTTCATAGTTTTTAAGACTACAGTAATATACAACATAACGATGATTTGGTCAGCAGTGGACTCATATATGACAGTGGTCCTATAAAATTATACCATATTTTTACTGTACCTTTTCTGTATTTAGATACACAAATACTTACCATTGTGTTACAATCGCCTACGGTGTTCAGTAACATGCTGTACAGGTTTGTAGCCTAGGAGCAATAGGCTGTGCCATACACCCTAGGTGTGTAGTAGGCTACACTATACCATCTAGGTCTGTGTAGTACACTCTGATGTTCCCACAATGATGAAATCGCCTAACGCATTTCTCAAAACATATACCAATGGTTAAGCAGTGCATGACCGTACTTTCACATACCTTATCTCATTTAAGCCTTATAAAAGTCTTCTAAAGTAAACCAGTTCCATCCTGGGGATAGGAGGGAGTACACTCTTTTGACCTACAGTGGCCATTTCTCATGTTCCATGTAATTTTTTTACCCTTGATTCACTGTATCTGAATCCTCCTTTCATCTCTGCCACAGTTGCTGCCCTTCTTGAAATTCCATTTTCTTCTCTTTTGCGATACTCTTATTTCCTGGTTCTTCCCCTACATCTATGCCATTCTTTCTGTTTATTTCACAGTCTCCTTCCACTTCTGTCCTTTAAATATTTAATATTCAGGCTAGGCACAGTGACTTATGCCTGGAAACCCAACACTGGAGTCTGAAGTGAGATGATTGCTTGAGGCTAGGAGTTCAAGATTAGCTTGGGCAACATAGCAAGACCCCATCTCTACAGAAAATTTAGAAATTTGCTGGGCATGATAGCTTGTGCATGTAGTCCCAGCTATTCAGGAGGCTGAGGTGGGAGAATCACTTGAGCCTAGGAGTCTGAGTCTGCAGTGAACTGGGATAGCGCCACTGCACTGCAGCCTGGGTGACAGAGCAAGACCCTATCTCAATTGGTCAATCAATCTCAGACCCACCTGCTACACCACTAATGTGTCTTTCTCTTTAAACTCTTCAGTACTTACTGATATAGTCCAAACTCTTTGACATAACGTTTTCGTCTCAATCTGGCTTCAGCCTTCCTCTCTTTTTTGCATTCCCTGTCTCCTACTTTGCTGTTCAGCAACATCAAACCCTGGGTGCTCTTCCATATACTGTACTATTTCTACTATATCTGGAATTTCACCCCCATTCACCCATTCACCCAAACAAAACAACTGGTCAGTTTTTACTCATCCTTCACCTCCGTTGTCACCACTTTCAGGGAGCTCCCTTAAATAAGATATGCCTCCTTAGTGTTATCATAATACCCTCTGCATAATTTTACCTTGTTGTATTTTAATTATCTGTTTATATACCTAATTCTTCCACCATGCTCTGAATTTTTTGAGTATATGGCATACTAGTACAATGCTTTCTATATAACAGGAACACAGTGAATATTGGAATGAATGAATAATCTTGGCTACCAATTTGCTGTGTTTCCTTGTCCCTTTCTGTGTATGTGGCTTTGTCCTTTAAGTTCTCTATGACAGATGAATTGAGATAAATTGCTAAAGCTCCTTCTAATTCTGAAATAACTTAATTCTTTTTTTTTTTTCTTTGAGATGGAGTCTCGCTCTGTCACCCAGGCTGGAGTGCAGTGGCGCAATCTCGCCTCACTGCAACCTCCACCTCCCAGGTTCAAGCAATTCTTCTGCCTCAGCCTCCCAAACTGCTGGGACTACAGGCTCGTGCCACCACGCCTGGCTAATTTTTGTATTTTTAGCAAAGACGGGATTTCACCATGTTAGCCAGGAAGGTCTCCATCTCCTGACCTCGTGATCTGCCCGCCTTGGCCTCCCAAAGTGCTGGAATTACAGGCGTGAGTCACTGCGGCTGGCCTGAAATAGCTTAATTCTTTTAATAATTTATCTGGTTATTCACATTTCTGAAAATCACCTACTTAAGTCAGATATGAATAAAACAATGACTAAATGTATTTTGTCAGAAAATAATAGTTTATGAAATAATAGATTAGCTATCACTTTCTCCAAAGAATGGGTTTCTAATGTTTGACTTAAATTCATATATTGAATTCAATTTACTAGTGAAATATCAGATCATTTAATAGTCACTTGTTTTATCTTAGGGTAATACAATTTTAAAATATGTATATATTTTTGATTGAACAGACACAACATGACAATCTAATGATTAAGACAGAAGATGTGGGTCCTACATTTGGGGTCTTTCCAATATTGTCAACAATGTAGGAGTTTTTGATGGGAAATAGCCATAGTCATCAAAAATCCATTTATTTAGTTTTAAAATATACTAAAATGTTTTCATTGTAATGTGGAGTACATCTCCCTCTTAAGTTTGTGTATATTAATCATTGCATCCTCGATGCTTCGCACATGAAAGGCATTCAGTAAATGTTTGTTAAATAAATGAATAAATACAGTTAGGCTACTCAGTGAGGCCTACTTTCCAGATTCTGTTCTGACTCCTCTTTCAACTCTTCAGTTCATCACTATTTGCTATGAGCCTCTTCAAGACAAGCATCTTGACTTAGCATCAACCTAAACAGATTTGTCTGCTCTTCCTCCTCCCTCCCTCCCTCTTCCTTTCTTCCCTCCCTCGCTCCCTCCCTTCCTTCCTTCCTTCCTTCTTTTTTTCCTTTCTTAAACTAGAATGTAAGTGTAAGTGAATAAAGTTTTCCTGTACAAGTCATTTCCTCAGCTAAGGTAGGAAAAGTGAGAGACAATTCAGGTAGCTGGGTAAAAGTTCTTCAAATTGTAGATCTTAAGCTTCAGATAGCTTTATTGGAAATTAGGCTTTACGCAGAATAAATCATTAAAGAAACTGAGAAGATAGTAAGAAGAGCAAATTTGAACGAAGTTGATAATTCACCATATAATTATTACAAATATAAAGCTGAGTAGGTTTTTGCTGTTTCTATTGTTGGGTTTTTAAAAACAGTACTGCTTAATAAATGTAAAAAATATTTATTTTTAAAGATGATGTGGTTTCGGGGGGCCACATAATTGTGTTTGCAGATCTTGCATTACGATGTTTGATTGAAACCTATGCTGCCAGTTTTGAGGAAAGGAATGAAGAACCTTTAGCCAAACGCGTAAAGAATGATAAAACAGAAAAAGAAATTTACACTTTGGCCAAGGAAGGAAATGAAAAAAATGTCCCAGAGAAGTGGAACCCTGTGGCTGGCATTGTTATTGCACTCTGTTGTCACCACAGGTGTGATTGGAGACATTATGTGGGCAAAGAATATTTCAGGGCTCTAGGCCTTGGAGCAGTGGAATTCCACTATTTCCAGCGAATGAGTAGTTGGGCAACTTGTGGGATGCGGAAAACATCTTTGGAAACCTCAAATAGTACCACAAAGAGACAAGATAATCAGAATGATGATAGTGAAGAGCATGATGATGGAGGATACAGAATCACAGATGATGGCGCTGATAGTTTGCCTGGGTAAGAGACTACTTTTGTAATGTATGACACTAAAGGAGAAATATTGTATTATACTGTACTTTAGATGACTATTATCAACAATTCATGAAAATGTATAATCTAATTTTAGAATAAGCTAAAATATACACATCTCTTATTGTGGTCATAAATATAATGTGTCTTGGAAGCATGGGATAAAGTACTTAGTACATTACGGGTTAGTTAACATTCTCTCAATAAATGGAAGTGACAAAAATAATTTTTTATAAACTTTTACAAAATTTTAACAATGTTTTGTATGTGTTTATTCAATTTAGGCTTCTTAGTGTTGAAGAAAAGAAGAAAATAGGGCATCTTTGTAAATTGCTGATTGACCAAGGTCGAATCCAGTATTTGCAGCAGAAGGGATTCAGTCCTGCTTTGCAGTACTATACAGACCCTCTGGTGTCTTTGGAAAATGTTTTGTTAACTGCTTTACCAAATCATTCTTCATCACCAGAAACAACTACTTAATGGAAAAGAAATTTGAGCATCATCTGTCTTCCACCAAAAAAAATTTTTAATTATATTTTTATATTAAAAAATATATACTTTAAATAGCAAATAATATGAACTTTAAAAAATGCTGTGGCCTCATTAAACTTTGGTAATAGCTTTTTTTTTTACTTCAGAAATCCAAACATTAGAGAATTCACCAAAGTAATCCTCTTTAGAAGGGCATCTTGAATTACATTATCCATCCGTATTTATGGAGATTGGTAAAGTAGTTGAACCGTTGACTTGGTGATCTGAAACATACATGTCAACACATAATTAGCATATTTCTGTTTGTATTAATTTTGGAAATTTATCTTCCTTTGATTTTATTTAATATTTTTTATTTCTCAAGTTCAAGAGGTAGTGATTGATTGTAACAAGGGCCAATCTGAGAATTTGACTTGTATGTGGACATTTTTCCCTACAGACCTGAAAAGCACAATTATGATTTTCTCAAATGCAAACAATTCAGAGATGTTCACAATTAATAAACACAATTAATGAAGTCACCTTCAAATTTCCAGAACCATACATGTATATATTGTCAGAATCTGTCCATGACAAACACAAAACTTAAGAGCTATTTTCAAAGAAAAAAGATTATTTCACTTAATTATTTTGTTGGATAATTATCTAGTTAGAACTTCCAAAAAGATACTTACAAACATAATTCACAAATTTGAAATAACTTCTGGAGTTGATTAGCTATCTCATATCTTTTATCAGGTCATTTTTTACATATATAGGCACAAACAATAAGTATGTTCTCTTCTGTTTGGGAAAATAATTTGGAATAAAGTAGAAATTAGATAATGAAACTAAAAACCTCAAATTTAGGCCTTATTTAACACATGACTGGTTTCTATGCACAAGAAAATATTAAACCAAACATATGGTAGGACTGTTACTCTCTTCTGCATCTTATCCCTATTTTGTTTCTGCCTTTATTTGTAAAAATTGTCTTAATTTATGGTACATTTGCCAAGACAAAGGTTCAGAATTACTAATTTTAGATATTATGATATTCTGAGGTAACTATTTTTATCCTGTAGTTCTATGATTACATGATTTGTAAATAAGAAGCCTAACCAATTTAAAATTCCTGACTTTAGTCTCATATATCTTGTCAGACTGCCTCAGTTCAAATTCCAACCCTACCATCTTTGAGTTGTGCGACCTTGGGCATGCCAATTAATCTCTTTGTGCCTCAATTTTCTCCTCTTAAAATGAGGAGGATGATGATAACAATAATACCTACCTCACAAGGTTGTTGTGAGTATCAAATGAGATAACACAAGTAAAATGCATAGAACAGTTCCAAGCACAGAGTAATTCAATAAATATTAACTGGAAATAGTAGTGGTAGTAACTCGTGAATCTATTTTTAATAACATAATAGGCTTTGATTGTATTATCTCTTTAAGTCGTTAACTTTTTTTTCCTTGTTATAAGTTTTATGTCAAATGCTATTAAAGTAAGGTAGTTTGTTTTTTAAGTTAGTTACCCATGTCCCCAATCAAGGGAACCTAAATGAAGATATTATATCATTAAATAATTAACCTTTTTTTTTATTGTGTCAAGCAATACTAATTTGTGTCATAAAATTTGTTTTGCATCATTCAACAATTTATGCCCAGAAATAAACAATATTCTACAACAGGCATAATCGCATTTATGTTTCATAAAATATTCATACACATCCAAGAATTATCATACGGAAACAGTTCTGTGGCCCATTTAGCTTAATGGTATGTTTCTGACAATGGTATCAAGTACCTTAACGGAAGATAAGTTTGTCCTTCAACATGCCAGCCTTAGGTCAGGATTATTGTTTTCCTAACCGTTAATTTGTCTTCACATATCATGAGAAAGTGACTATGTGGGATATGCATACAGCTATTTCTTGTCCTGCACAATTTTCAGATTCAACAAACCTCTTCTTGAACTTTAGATTCACCTATACAATTACCACAACTTGCATGTTCCACAAGTGCATCAAATTTACTGCTAAGGGCCAGGTGCAGTGGGTTACGCCTGTAATCCCAGTACTTTGGGAGGCCAAGGCAGGTGAATCACTTGAGGTCAGGAGTTCGAGACCAGCCTGACCAATATGGTGAAACCCTGTCTCTACTAAAAATACAAAATTAGCTGGGCGTGGTGGCGCATACCTGTAATCTCAGCTACTCAGGAGGCTGAGGCAGGAGAATTGCTTGAACCTGGGAGGCGGAGGTTGCCAAGTGAGCCGAGATTGTGCCATTGCACTCCAGCCTGGGCAGCCAGAGAGGAACTCCTCAAAAGAAAAATGACTGCCAAAATTAGAAATCATCTTCTGCCTCTACCACCTGATTCTACTCGCCAACCCATCTTCTGTACTTCAATCTCCATCTTAGCATCATCATCTATCCAGTCGCTCTCTAAACCAAAAACATTCATTATAAACTCCCTTTTCTCATCTTCATTCAACTACCAATTCTGTCTCCTAATCGTCTTTTATGTATTCTCTCTCTGCTTTCCAAAACTAGGTCACAATTAGGACTTTTTTGCCTGTCTCCCCAATCTGTCTCCATGTTATTGCATCTATGACCTTGCTACAATAAATCTAATCACCATTTTCTAAACATCCTCCACTGAATGTTAGTAAAAATTATTTCCTCTAGCTGAAAAACTCTGTCATTGTCTTCTCGGTTATACTCATTTTTCAAACTAACTAGTTGTTGCATTAAGTTGAACTAAAATCTGCCTTTTAAGTTAAAAACTCTTAACATTTTACAATTAGAAGACCATGATTTCTATTACTATCGTTTCATTGTTTTTATTAACAAATAATTGTGTACTTTGTCCTCTTCCCCTGATCTTGGTTTAGCTTAAAGCCCCTCCTTGATTAAAAAAAGTGGTGTAATTCAAAATTATGAGAGACTAAGTGATTGAAATCTCTATATCAAAACCTCACACTTCGTTGATTAAAATCTGTATTCTCAGCCAGACATGGTGGCATGCACTGATAGCCCCAGTTACTCCAGAGGCTGAGGTGGGATGATCTCTTCAGCCCAGGAGTTCAAGGCCAACAGTGAGCTATGATTGTGCCTTTGAATAGCCACTGCACTCCAGCCTGGGCAAAATGGGCAAAATAGTAAGACCTCATCTCTTTAAAAAACAAAACAAAACAAAACACTGTGTTATCTTAATATTTGTGGAATGACAAGGAAGATCAGTTCATGGTCAAACTGCTATGTGTGGCAAGCTGGTAGAATGAGGTAGCAAAGCTTTAAGAATCACATCTTCACTCACTTGGTTTTACTTCATATGCTTAGCCAAAGGATTTATTTCCTTCCCCCACTTGAAAAACTTTGAATATCTTTACAACCCCTCTCTCCATTTCACTTTTTTTCTTCCCACAATATTGACTAAGAGAACAGAATTTGACAGAAAACTTAAGATGGAATGAGAAATATATAAAGGAATTAATCAAAAGGCAGCAGTTAGTGATATACACATTACCAAAAAAGAACATTGAATCTGTGTTATATACAAATCTTATACCTGCTCTTCTCTGTGACTCTTGTATGTATGTGTGCATAAACTGAAGGCCGAATAATTCCCGTTCCTCTTCTTCATCTGTGCCTTCGCTGGGAGGAAGTGATACTTCCAATTTCAGTGGGTTGTCTCTGAAGTTGACAAACCTAGCAGTTCATCAAAAAACAGTATTTTTATAGGTGTCATGGAAGTGTACATTTATTTCCCTGGAGAAAGGTCAAATGATAATATACTAAATTACTTTTTTAACTGGTTTCAATAATTGAACACCGTGGTGAGATGTGATATATCTCAAGAATCTATGTTTTTTTTTTTTCCTGAGAGAAAAAAACACTAGCTTTAGACAACTTACTTTCAAAGCTTATAAAAGCAACTAGTTAGTCTAGTTGCACAGGCTGGAGTGTAGTGGCATCATCTGGACTCATGGCACCCTCCACCTCCTGGGTTCAAGTGATTCTAGTGTCTCAGCCTCCCAAGTAGCTGGTACTAGAGGCTCACACGCATGACACCCAGACAATTTTTGTATTTTTAGTAGAGAGAGGGTTTCACCCATATTGGGCAGGCTGGTCTTGAACTCCTGGCCTCAAGTGATCTGCCTGTCTTAGCCTCCTAAAGTGCTGGGATTACAGGCGTGAGCCACTGCACCCAGCCAACAGCATATATTTCATGCAATACAGCTTAACTTCTAAGAGCAATGTTAACATATCTTAAATATAAAATTAGTGCTATGAACTTAGTTTCTGCATATTTTATATACCTTCATCTTACTTATCATTGTGTCTTCACCACCCAGTACAAGGCAGGTAGTTGCTGAACAAGTGAATAAATGAATTATTTGGTTATGGAAGTTTTGGGTTTTAGTGGGTATTCTCTTATTCTCAATTGTCAGAAGATTAAGCTTTGGAAGAAAAATGCTTGAGGAAGCTTTCAAGATGGGTTAAAACTTAAATGTCACATCTGAAACAGTAAAAAATCCTAGAAGAAATCCTAGGAAAAACTCTTCTGGACATTGGCCTAGGCAAAGAATTTATGATGAAGACCTCAAAAGCAAACACAACAAAACCAAAAATAGACAAATGAGATTTAATTAGAAAAACTTCTGCACAGCAAAAGAAATAATCAACAGAGTTAATAGACAACCTACAGAATGGGAAAAATATATGTAAATTATACATCTGACAAAGAACTAATACCCAGAATCTACAAAGAACTCAAACAACTCAACAAGAAAAAAAATAACCCCACAAGCGGGCAAAGGACATGAAAAGATATTTCTCAAAAGAAGAAATATAAGCAACCTAAAATAATCTAAAATAATTTTTAAAGAGAAAAAATACTTGACAGAGTTTTGATAGTACTTAGTAAAAAGTTATATCTAGTGGTTATTTGTTTGTTTTTGTTTTTTGTTTTTAAGAAATAGTCTCTGTTTCCCAAGCTGGAGTGCAGTGTCGCAATCTTGGCTCACTGCAACCTCAAACTCCTGGGCTCAAGCGATCCTCCAGCCTCAGCCTCCCGAGTAGCTGTTATAGGCATGCACCACCACTCCCGACTAATATATCTGCTTTCTATCAGTAACATAATTGTGTCCATTTGTACTTATTTAGGAAATAAACACTTTTACACTTTTGATTTTTATGTTGCGAATGAAGTTTTTTTAGCTGTATAATTTTCATGAATTTGTCACCAACAGAGGACCTTTTTTTTTTTTTAGGTTGGTATTATAACATGTATTAAAATAATGCTGTGGGTTAATAGAAACAGCAAAGAACCAAAGAACTAAAAGGCAAGCTATGTAAAATCCCAACTAAAACCCAAAAATGTCTAATGTATTCATTCGTTAGCTAGCTAAAAGCCCAAAAAAGACGACACCCAATATAATAAAGTACTGCAAAACAATTGGCAATTTTCAGTTATCAAAATTGTGGATTTTGCATTTTGTATCCTTTTCTCAATCAAGAAAAAAATTATTTTTGAATGTTATATAACATACTTGTAAAACAAGATAGAAAAATACACTCTAAACTTGTAACAATGGCTGTAAATATTTTATCTTACATGTTTCTCATAGGCAATAGGTTGGTTATGGTACATACATAGCATGAAACTAAGATGACAAAAATACATGTCAGCTGTACGATAACATACAAGTGACACTCCCATCTACCCATGCTAAAAAATTATATAATACTGTCAAAAAGAAGTCTTAAAACTACATATTTTAATAAGAAATTCAATAAAGAATGATAATACTGAGAACTAAGGCATTCAGAGATTTCAAGTCATGCTTTTTCAGTTGATTCAAAATTTTGTCAACCAAGTTTTCTAAAGTTTGTTCAGAGCCAACATTACCATGTCACACATTTATTATTTCATACATTTACTTTCTTTCCCATAAAAGACCTTTGATAAACATCTAAAGTGGAGGACATTTCTTAAAGCTGATAAATCCCAAACTGCTTTAGTTTTAAGGATTCTTTCTTGAATAGACCAGTGTTATATGAATCCTATTCATCAAATTGTAAAATTTCAACATTGGAAAAGATTTTTTAAATACCCATTCATGTAAATAACAACTGAAATTTATTAATAACAATCTCTCTACATTACTTTTTTCTGCAGCCAGAAAGCAAGGTTTTTCAGTTTTGTGCCTACAACTTTTTACCTCAGATTTGCCATTTCTTCCATGCATACTGGAATATCTTGCAGTTTATTGTTGCTGAGAACAAGAGTACCCAGATTTTTCATATTGCGGATTGTTTCAGGCAAGCATGTTATTTCATTTCGTTGCAGCCATAATGTATGTAGATTTTGCATTCTGAAAAATTAAGGTTTCTGCAATTAATTACGTATAATATGAAAACATTGGTTTTGGAGTTTTAAAAAATAATTTTAAGAGGCAGGGGTCTCATCATGTTGCCCAGGATGGCCTTGAACTCCTGAGCTCAGGCTACCCTCCCACCCTCAGCCTCCTAAAGTGCCGGGATTACAGGCGTGAGCCACTGCACCCAGCCTTTGGTTCTTATGTAAAAATCAAATGTCTTTTACAACATATTTAACCAGTATACTTACTGAGTTAACTGACATCACATTACCTGGTTATTAGAGAAACCGCATCAGGAAGTTCATCTCTACAGTACAACTCTTACATCGTATGGCAATAGAAATGAAATCAAATCAACATATTCTAGAATTCTTTCACTATTCTCATAGGATTTCTTGAAGAAGAACTGCTGTAAATGTTACCTAATCTGAGTTAGAGTCTTAAGAGAACAATCAAATGATTAATATGCCCATTTATAGCAAAGCAGTATGCATAATGCTTAACATCATGGACTCTGGGTCCAGGCTGCCTAGGTTCAAATCCTAGCTTGCCCACTTACTAACTTGAGCAAGTTAGCTAACATCTCTGTCATTAGTTTCTTCATCCGCTTGTAAAGTGCATAGAAGTGCTTGGCATATACTAAGCAAGGTGGTTATTGTGGCATATTCTTGTTAATTTCTCAAAGTCAGCCAGTTTTGGCCAGGCGTGGTGGCTCATGCATGTAATCCCAGAACTTTGGAAGGCAGAGGCAGGTGGATCACTTGAAAAAAGCCAGTTTTTTCTTCTTCCCAAACCCTTTTACTTACTTGGAACAAATGAAAATATTCTGTTAAAACAGTGTATTTCAAACTAGTTGGACCTATTGTGATTGATTATGCTCGAGATCCCATTTGTCTTGCTTAGTTTTTTTCATAAGAGGTTTCAAGACATTTATCATTAGCATAAAGAGTTATTTCTTTTACCTTTCTATAGTATCAGGAAGTTGTTCAAGTTTGTTGCTTCCCATGTCTAGCCACTCAAGGGCAGGCATGTTCAACACAGCAAGAGGGATTGTAGTAAAATGGTTCATACTCAGATCAAGGTGAGTAAGTTTTAGCAGATTGCTGAGCTGAAGAAGAAAGCAAAGTTTTTCAAAATAAATGCCCACAATGTAAACTACTAAAAGACTCACGTCGGTAAAGGCAATATTTCACATCCAGGAATGTTCACATTTTACTTGGGCTTTATTTAGTCATAGTAGTCCACAACAAATTAAAAATAAATATAAAGCTAAATAACCTCCAGGGAAGTGTAAAACTCTCATAGAAAGTTCACCTATTCAAAGAAAATTTATCTTTCATAATCACCAGGTTCCAGGGTTTATAGAATGTGCCTGGCAAAACCTTTTTTTC